CACCACTCGAACCTGTTGCCGTGGCGTGAAAGCCTTGCTGCCGACATCGTGGAAATCCCGGAAGCGAAAGGTGGCGGCCTCGACGTAAAGGAGCTGGAGCGCCAGTTGAAAAACTACAGCAGTCGTAAACTCAAGATCGGCACCTTTACTGCAGCTGCGAACCTCACCGGCATGCTTATGGATGTCAATAAGATCTCGAGGTTACTACACAGACACGGCGCCTTGGCCTGCTGGGATTATGCTACCTGTGCACCGTACGTTGATATCGACATGAACCCGAGTGATCCTCTAGCGTACAAGGACGCTATCTTTTTCTCGGGTCACAAGTTTGTAGGTGGACCGGGATCTCCTGGTGTGCTGGTCGTCAAGAAAAAGCTCATGACGAACGAGGTGCCGACGATGCCTGGGGGCGGCACCGTGCTCTTTGTTACCGAGAAGGCGCACAGCTACCTGGACGACACGGTCGAACGGGAAGAAGGCGGTACACCAGATATCTTGGGCAGCATTCGACTTGGTCTGGCGTTCGCGCTCAAGCAACGTGTCGGATCCAAGAAGATCATGGCCCAGGAACGTTGCCACGTACAGCGCGTGCGTGAATCGCTGGGTGGGAACAAGCACATTGTGCTACTTGGTCGTCACAACGACAAGGTGGACCAGCTACCCATCTTCTCGCTGATGGTCCGCTACGGCGACCGCTTCCTCCACCACAACTTTGTGTGTGCACTGCTTAATGACCTGTTCGGTGTTCAGGCTCGTGGCGGCTGCCAATGTGCCGGTCCGTTCGGAGCTCGTCTGCTCGGGGTTAGTAAAGAGCACACGATCGCTTTGGGAAATGCCTTTGTGGAGAAGGATGAAGTGATTAAACCGGGTGTTGTACGCATGAGTTTTCCCTATTTTGTCGACGATGCTGAAGTCGAGTACATTCTAGACGCGATGAACTTTGTGGCCGACCACGGCTGGAAGTTCCTGCCACAGTACGAGTTTGACATTCATTCGGCAGCGTGGCGTCATACCTCGCGCTCTAAGGATAACCTCCCGACCAAGAGCTGTCTGTCTGAGCTGCAGTTCTTCAGTGACGGCACCAACAGCACGTCAACATCTGAAGAACCTATTCGCAGCATTGCAGCTCACCGCCGTGAAAACCTCGAACAGGCCGCACTTCAGGCGGATGCCTGTATGAAGGAGGCAGCGTTGCTCGATTCCTTCCCAGAGGGGCAAAAGGTGCTCAAGAGCCACGAATGGCTGCGTTGGTTTGTCTATCCGTACGAGGCCGTCGCGGACTACAAGAAGAACGGAGATAAAGTCGCGCTTACTGACAAGATTACGGGTCCGTGTCAACCGCAACTCTACCTGGAGGACGCGATGAACCACATTTGGGACGGTACGCCGTCCATGTCCAAACTGAAAAGGAGTCGCATGGGACGGCTGATGCTTCGTCATTACATGCCGACCCCTTGAACACAACGGAATGAGGTCTTGAAGCAAGAGACCAAGAATTAGAAAGGTGTTGTGACGCCGGCCAGCGCCGCGTATCAACGGAGTGTGTTACATAGTTGGAGCGGGATGAATGCAAGTCTCGCCGACGATACTATTCGGGTAGCCTAATTGTAGCAAACGTATAAAAGTCGTGTTGCCGATTGAATCGATGAACTTGAACATGTACCGTTGATGTTGGCCTATTGTGCAGTAAGCATTTTGGCAGTAGGAA